CCTGAGCTGACAGCCTGGCTTGCTCCGAGAACAGAGGAAATGAAATAACAAACCACACCAGAGGTCTGAGGGCTTCTCCATATTACATTTTCAATTGAACATGAGATTATGTTTTTGACTTCATAAACATAGGCATCAATCTGAATCCCGCCTGCGCCACAGCGAGAGAGGACAAGTGATATCAGCGCTACCGAGAGCAATGAGGACGGGCTGTACATGTTAGAAGATCAAATTTAGGATTAGGGGTTCTATTCTTTCTGAGTCTGCCCCTAACATTATTGTCTTTGGGGCCATTCACCAAACCCATTTGGGAAACACAAGATTCAGATCATTATTTGCCGTTAGCAGATAAAACCCTTTGGAATACATGTGCAAGAATCCCCTTGTGGCACCAACAAGTACACAAAAAAATAACACAAGCCAAAAAGAAGTACAGAAGAGTAAAGGAAAAAATCATAAAACTGTGACCTAATCAACAAATACACCAATACATGATCATTAAAGGCTTGCTCAGGACTGATAACAACTGAAAGAAGCTGGTCTCTCCTCTTCTGTCACTCTCTGGTCACTCTGGTCTCTTCTCTGGTCCCTAAGCCAATGTATACTTTGCGCGGCGTGGCTTACGTTACGGTTTGCGGTGGAACCTACGTAAGCACAATTGATGTTATCCTGGCGCGTTCCCCTTACGAGTTTTGAGGAAATGTTGTAAACCCACAAAAACCACATGAGGGCATCACAACAGAAGCGGTCCATTACGCTGCACTTTAGTCCTCTTAATCAGAACAACAATAGCAAACAAAGCTGTTTGAGCTCATTACACTGTTCTACTCGTAAGGTTTTATGTGATAGTTTTTAAGGATTCATTATTTTAAGTCATTTCAACTGTGGATGCTGTGCCTAAAGACACCGTTCCCCCTTGTTGAAAAAACCATAGATAATATTAAAAGTTTTCAGCACAAACAGCAAAACATAATAGTGGTAAATATCTGGGACAAACATGACGATTTACGAGTGCAGGAGGAAAGCACCAAACGCAGCTACGATTCAAACAAGACAGGAACATGCAAAACAAACGACTGCACAGTTTAATAAGCATATATATGTTAGATATCCACAGTTTCCTGTTATAACAAGGACTTTAGGCCCAAACTGCTTTTCATCAAAGCACAAAGCTCTCTGCTCCAAGTGCCATCGTCCATGTCCCTGCTGCAGCCGCTCCGTGCTTCCTTCCAATAACTCACACACGACAATCAACTCCAATCCAATCCAATACCACTTTATATAAATAGCACAATTAACACAACCAAAACGTTTCCCAAAGTGCTGAACAACATAACAATAAAACAAAAACAATACAAATGAGTTCAAACCAAATAAATAAAATCATGCGGAGCCTTCTTAACGGCGACCCTTACGTAGTTAAAAATTTTCGAGGCCTTGCGGTGACCAAACGCGTTGCGCAAGTGTACGTCACGTCATCCCCTCCGTAAGCTCCGTCCGCCGCGCGAAGTATAACTAGGCTTAAGTGTTTTTTATTTTTTTTCTCCGAAAGGCCATCTAACAAAAACACACTTCTTATCAAAGTGACAACACATGCCCTGAACATTATATTCATTTTCTTATGGCTCTGTGTGGGCATTTCTAATACTAAAGAAAATATCATCTTCCTGGGGGGTAAAGATAATTCATTAGGGTGCCGGACATGGCCCCCGGGCCTTGACTTTGACACAAATGCCATTGAGATAGAGACCATGTCTCTACGGTCTCTCTCTGATTCTCTTGTTCAACTTATAATGCTTTGTGGAAAGAAGCTGGTCTCTCTCTGGCTGTCTCATCTCTGGTCCTCTCTTGGGTCTTTCTCATGTCCTCTTTTCTGGTCCTCTTTGTCTCATCTTCTCTGAACTCACTGTTCTCTCTCTGGTCTCTCTCCCTTTTTCTCTCTTCAATTTCTTCTTTCTGCTCTTTCCCGCTTTCTGTTCTCTCGCTCTTCTCGCTCTGGTCTCGCTCTCTCTCTGCCTCTCTGCTGGTCTCTCTCGTCTGTCACTATCTGGACTCTCAGTCTCTCTTCTCGCTGTTCTCTCTGTTTCTCTCTCTTCTCTCTCAGGACGCTCTCTCTCTCTGATCTCTCTTCCGGTCTCCTTTTTTTCTCTGTGATGTTGTCGAACACAGTCACAAAACTAACAAAGAAACTTTTGATGGTGCAGCATAAAGGTTCAGCAGAGTCAGATTTTGTGCTACAACAATAAGAACAACAAAATGGTTGTGTTCATTACTGTATAGTTTTTATAATGATTTGTGTGAACCATTATCGCCGATAAGACCTAATTATGGTTATATTGTACATAAAAACATAAAACGCAGTTGTTAAATTACAAGTGAATGATCTCCTGTTCCTATACTTTTTTTCCCTTAAACCTTGACATAAAAAACCACAGATTCTGGTATCGACCCTACGTCTGCGCTCTGGAACAACTGCTCGATCAGCGCTTTTGCTCAAGGACACTGGAGCTCTAACTATTGGGCGGGTTAAAAAGGGCCCGTTAATGTTCCGTGCTCAGGAGATTAATAAGGGTAATATTGCTCTGAGAATCCTGTTGTGATCCCATAAACACACGTCTGTTGACTTGTTTGAGATGCTCAAGGAACTAAGTTTGGGAAAACTCCTGCTTCGCCTTGATGTCCGGTTCATTTACAGCACTTAAAGAGCTAAACTTTTGCTCTGAGGCTTAATCTGGATTGTCCCCGTTCATCTTCTGGATTAGTGTGCTAACGAGAGGAGAAACAGCTTTCAAGTCGTGACGGTGAAAGAAGAAAGAGAGAGTTGATTAAAGACAATGTTTGTCCTAGAACAGGAGAAGTCCTTTAGACAATGCTCTCATGTTTGACGGGAGGGGGAGGGGGGGGGGGGGGGGGGGGGGGGGGGTGGTATTTGCAAACAGGAGAGACTAACGCTGAAACGCACATTCTCTCGTTTTCAGACGCAGGGGTCTTCAGACTAGAATCCTGGTGCGCCCGGAGTGGAGGACGTAGCCTTTGATGCTAACAGAGTTTAGCTAGCGGCTTATTGTGTAAAGATCTTCTCCATAATGCAGCTTGGCAGCGTGTGTGTGTTCAGGGACCTTCACGGCACTTTATATACCAGCAGTATGTGTTCACGGAGGTGCCCATACGTTATAATTTATTAATTAAAAGGTATTTCCGCATGGAGCCAACACACTCGAACAGTTTGCATAAAGTCACGGGAGCAAGCAAACTCCACATGAGAACAAGCACTATGTCCCCCACTGTCAACCCTGGTTTAGTCCCCTGGTTTAGTCCTGGTGTAGCTCTGTTTTGGCTGTTTACAAGTATTTTCAGTCTACACGCTTTAGACCGCTAATGTCCCGTGACCCCTTATGCGGCTCTCTGAGTGGTTGCTGCACGAGCGTCCCGAGAAAGGTTCAGCCAAAATTCATCTCATGCGTTCCCTCCCCTTCGACTTCCAGCGCGGCCATGCGTGGCATTCCGAGACAGCTTGTGCGTTTTGAGGCCAAACGCCCCATCACTATTGACTTGCATTGAAAGCCACCGCAACGAATGATCCGGTCTGAACGCGCATAAGGGCAGTAGTGGATGAGCCAGACACTCCACATTTCAACAATATACAGTGGGGCAAAAAAGTATTTTAGGCAGCCACCGATGTGTGCAAGTTCTCCCACCTTAACATAATGACAGTGGCTGTAATTTTCATCATAGTAACACCATCAACTGTGAGAGTCGAAGTAAAAAAAATCCAGGAATTCACATTGTAGGATTTTTAAATGAATTTAATTGTAAATTATGGTGAAAATAAGTATATTTGGCCATAACCAGAATTCAACCCGCAATGAAGGAAGGTTTGGAGCTCAAAATCTCACGATACATGCCACCAATCATTCTTTTCCCTTAACATCGATCAGTCGTCCTGTCCCCTTAACAAAAAACAGCCCCAAAGCATGACGTTTCCACCCCCATAAGCTGCACAGTAGGTATGGTGTTTCTTGGGATGCAACTCTTTCTCCAATCACACACACGAGTTGAGTTATACCAAACAGGGTTCTACTTTGGTTTTCAATTCATCAGACCACATGACATTCTCGCCCAGCTCTGCTGTATCATCCATGTGCTCTCAGGCAAACTTCAGACGCCTGAAAATTCACTGGCTTCAGCAGGGGGAACGCTGGCACTTGCAGGATTTATCCTGTCGTCGTATGTGTTAACTGATGGTCCCTAGCTTCTCTGCAGGTCATTCACACAGGTCCCCCCGTGTGGTTCTGATTTTTGATCACCGTTCCATAATCATATTTGACCCCACGGGATGAGATCGCGTGAGCCCGATCGAGGGAGATTATCAGATGATTGAAATATCGTTTTGGGTTACATTTGGGCTATCTATTCATAACAGATAACGAGTTTAAACCTCTCTAGGCGCCACGGTCGACTAAAAACAGGTGCCATAATACAGGTAACAGGTGGATGACAGAAGAGCTTTCTTAAAGAAGAAGTTAACAGGTCTGTGAGAGCCAGAGATCTCCCTGTTTGCAGGACCAAATACTTAATTTTCCCCACCAAACTTTACAAATACATTCAGTAAAAATTCTAACAATGTGAATTTCTGGATTTTTTTTTTTCACATTCCTGTTTCTCTTCTCACATCGTTGAAGTGTACCAATGATGGAAAATTACAGACCTCTGACTTTATTTAAGTGGGGAGAACTTGCAACAATCGAGGCGGACTAAATACTTTATTTGCCCCACTGTATATTGTTGAATGAGGAAGTGTCCTGGATCATCACAACTACTTGCCTTAAGCCGCGCTCATACCTGTGGATCAATCGTTGCGTGGCTTTCAATCAAAGTCATCGTGATGGGCCGTTATTGAGGCCTCTAAACGCACAAGCGTCTCGAAATGCACGAACTGACCCCGCGCTGGAAGTCGAACGGGGAGGGAACCAAGAGATGAATTTTGCTGACTTTTGGAGTGGGTGGGGGTGGGGGGGGGGGGGGGGGGGGGGGGGGGGGGGTGGGGGTGGGGGGGGGGGGGGGGGGGGGGGGGGGGGGGGGGGGGGGGGGGGGGGGGGGGGGGGGGTGGGGGGGGGGGGGGGGGGGGGGGGGGGGGGGGGGGGGGGGGGGGGGGGGGGGGGGGGGGGGGGGGGGGGGGGGGGGGGGGGGGGGGGGGGGGGGTCCTCGGGACGCTCGGCAGCAACCAGATCAGAGAGAGCCGCAAAGTGGTCGAACGGAGACATTCAGCGGTCTAAGCGAGTAGACTGAAAATACTAGTAAAACAGCCAAAACAGGAGCTACCAACCCAGGACTAAACCCAGGACTAAACCAGGGTTGACATGTGGGGGACATAGTGCTTGTAAAACATGTGAGTTTTCATGCTCCAACCGTGACCTTTATGCAACTGCTTCGAAGTGTGTTCGCCCGATGCGAAATACCTTTTAATAATAAAATAAACGTATTGCGCACCTCCGTGAACCACATACTGCTGTTATATAAATTCCTTGGAAGGTCCCCTACCCACACAACAACAATCACACAAAACGCGCAGAACTGCCATTATTGGAGAAGATCATTCACAATAAGCCGCTAGCTAAACTCTGTTAGCATCAAAGGCTACGTTCCTCCACCCTCCCGGCGCGCACACAGGACTTCTAGTCTGAAGACACCCTGCTCTGAAAACTAGAGAATGGCGTTTCAGCGTTAGTCTCTCCTGTTTTGCACTAAAGTCAAACATGAGAGCAATGTCTAAAGACTTCTTCCTGTTCAGACAACATTGTCTTTAATCACTCTCCTCTTGTCTTTCTTTTTCAACCGCACCGACCATGAAAGCTGTTTCCTCCTGTTTTACGCACACACTCCAGACAAGATGAACCGGGGAACAATCCAATTAGAGGCCAGAGCAAAAGATTAGCTCTTTAAAGGGCTGAAAGAACCGGACCCAAAGTCGAAGCAGGAGTTTTCCCAAACTTAGTTCCCATGAGCATCTCAAAAACAAGGCTCACAGACTGTGTTTATGGATCCCAACAGGCCATCTCACAGATGCAAAATTACTACCATAATAAACTCCCTGAGCACGGGAGCAATAACAGCGGGGCCATTTTTTAAACCCGCACCCCAATAGTTAGAGCACCTGTGTCCTTAGAGCAACGCCTGATCGATAGTTTGTTCCAAGAGCGAGACTTCGTCGATAACCAGAATCAGTGGTTTTTAATGTCAAGGTAGAAGTGAAAGGACAGAGATCATTCACATGTAATTTAACGAACTGCTTTTTATGTGATTTTTTATTGTACAATCTAACAATACATTTAGGTCGACAATCGAACGATAAGGTCACAGACAATCATTATAAAACTATACAGTAATGAACACACCAATATTGTTTGTTCTAGATTGTTGTAGCACAAACTCTGACTCTGCTGAACCTTATTGCTGCACCCTCAAAAAGTTTTCTTTGTTAGTTTTGTGACTGTGGTTCGCAACATCACAGAGAAAAAAAGGAGACCGGAGAGAGATCAGAAGAGAGAGAGCGACCAGAGAGAGATAAGAGAGAACAGAGAGAACAGCGTAGAGAGAGCACAGAGAGACCAGATTGACCAGAGAGAGAAGACCAGAGAGAGCAAGAGAGAGCGAGACCAAGCGAGAAGAGCGAGAGAACAGAAAGCGGGAAGAGCAGAAAGAAAGAAACGTAGAAGAAAAGTGAGAGAGACCAAGAGAGACCATGAGTCCAGAGAGGAAGATTAGAGACCAAGAGAGACCAGAAAAGAGACCAGAGAAAGACCCAAGAGCGACCAGAGAGAGACAGACCAGAGAGAGACCACTTCTTTCCACCAAGCAGTTATAAGTCTGAACAAAGATCAGAGAGAGACCCGTAGAGGACATGTTCTCACACTCAATGGCATTTGTGTCCAAAGTCAAGAAGGCCCGGGGGCCAGGTCCGGCACCCAAATGAATTATCTTTACCACCCCCAGGAGGATAGTTTATTAGTATTAAACGTGGCCCACACAGAGACCATAAGAAAATGAATATAATGGTTCAGGGCAATGTGTATTTCACTTTGGACAGAAGTGTTTTTGTTAGAGAGCCTTTCCGGAGAAAAAAAAATAAAAACACTTTAAGCCTAGTTATTACTCGCAAGCAGGCCGCGGTAGCTTACGGAGGTACGTGACTGTCACCATAGCGCAACGCGTCTCTGGTTCACCCCGCCAGGCCCCCTCGAAATTTTCTAACTACGTAAGCGGGCTCGCCGTAAGGCGAAGCTCCGCTGATTTTCTATTTAATTATGTGGAACTCATTTTGTATTGTTTTTGTTTTATTGTTATGTTGTATTCAAGCACTTTGGAAACGTTTTGTGTTTAAATGTCAAATAAAAAAAGTGGATTGGATTGATTGGAATGATTGGTCCGTGTGTGTGTATTGGAAGGGAAGCACGGAGCGGCTGCAGCAGGGACATGGACGAGGCACTAATGGAGCAGAGAGCCATTGTGCTCTTGGAAGGAAAAGCAGTTTGGGCTCAAGCCTGATATACCAGAAACTGTGGACTATCTAACTATATATAGCTTATTACACTGTGCAGTCGTTTGTTTTGCCAACTGTTGTCCTGTCTTGCTTTAATCGTAGCTGCGTTTTGTTGCTTTCCTCCTGCACTCGTAATCGTTCATGGTTTGTCCCCAATATTAACCACTATTATTGTTTTGCTGTTTAGTGCATGAAAACAATTAAATAATAAACTATGTTTCCTCCAACCAGAACGTGTCTTTAATCACAAGCATCACAAGGTGAAATGACTTATTAAAATAATGAATCCATAAAACTATCACATAAACCTTACCGTAGAAACACGTGATACTGAGACTCAAACAGCTTTGTTTTGGCTATGTTGTTCGGAAGAGGACAAGTAGCAAGCGACATGGACCCGCCGTCCTGTGAGTGATCGCCCTCAATGTGGTTGTTGTGGGATTTAACACAAAACAAAAAAAAAAACAAAAAAAGACTAAAATACAATCAATTACACCAAAACAATACACTCAAAAAACATAAAAAAAACAAATAAAACAACACACGGTTCTCCTCAAAAACTCCGTAAGGGGAACGCAGCCAGTATAACGTCCACTTGTGCTTAACGTAGGACATAACCGCAACCGCTAACGTAAGCACGGCCCGCGACCAGTCACACTAGGCTTTAGAGACCAGAGAGAGACCCACACGAGTGAACCCCGAGAGAGACCAGAAGAAAGAGAGGACCCCGCTTCTTTCAGTTGTTCTCAGTCTGAGCAAAGCACTTAATGATCATGTATTGAGTAATTTGTTTGATTTAGTCATCACATTACGATGTTTTCTTTACTCTTCTAAGTTACTTCTTTTTGCTTGTTTTATTTTATTAACTTGTCTAGAGTGCAACACTAAGGGGATGTCATGCACATGTAGTTCCAAAGTGGTTTTTAACTGCTCACGGCAAATAAACTGAATCTGAATCTTGTGTTCAATGGGGGCTTTAGGGTAAATGGCCCCAAGACAATAAATGTTAGGGGACAGACATCTTGAAGATAGAACCCTAATCCATAAATTTGATTCTCTAACATTTACACGCCCTCCTCATTGCTCCTCCCGTAGCCTGACTATCACTTGTCCTCTCGTTCGCTAGTGGGAGCAGGCGGCATCAGATTTAAGCTATGTTTATGAATCAAAACAAACATTTCCATGGTTCAATGAAAATTTAATATGGAGAAGCCAGAGCTAGTCTTTATAGCAGTGTCCACATTTGTGTGCGTTTGTTATTTCAATTCTCTGTCTCGGGGAGCAGCCCAGGCTGTCACTCAGCCCAGGTAGGGGAGGAGGAAGCTGATAATGAAATTTGAGCAAAAAAATGTGGTAATGACGGACTGCGTTACATTTTATAGCTTTTTAGAGCTGCTAGCAGTATTCCAACGTCACTGAAGAAGCGCCACAGATTGGAGTAAACACTAGGGCTCCCATTTGGTACCATATACAGAAATGCATGGTTACAGGAGGGGTCCAGGTCCAGGTGGTTAGGTGTTAGGACGATCTAGTACGTGTATTTCACATATATTCTGCCTGGACCTATATTCCTCTAAATCTATGTTTTGACAATCAAAACATTTTATTACACATTTATGGACATTGGTCCCCCGGAGAGTATTCTTTCCGAGGTCCCGGTGAGGAGGGGGATACATCGAGTCCGAGTGGACCATTCCATGTTTTCCACCTCTATCCACCGATGCGTGGCTCGTAGCTGTGGTCGCAAGGTCCTGGGGTGCTGGTCTGGCGACAAATCCCAAACCCGTGGTGAGCACCGGTATAAGGGAATGCCGTCAGGCTGAAGGAGGTCCTAATACGAGCCATGATGGTTCTCGCGGAACTCCTGACGGCAGCTGTCCCAGTACCGCCGGCCCAAGCGTGCCGCCGCCGGGCTGTTGCACACTGCCAAACCACAGGACGGGACGGATTTCGAAGAGGTTCTATGGAGCATGACTATCGGGTCGGACCTCGAAAAAGATTCTGGCAAACCGTCTGGCGCCTCAGAGGGGGAAGCAACAACTTTTGATACGAGTGGTGGGGTGCTGACCTTGAACTCGAGATACTGTTGGGACGGAGGGAAAGGAATACTTCCACCCACAATTTCTGCATGTTGTATGACTGTCTTGGCCAATGGAGTGGCCCAGACCGGGTGGTAGTCCCACTCTACAAGAAGGGGGACCCGGAGAGGGTGTGTTCCAATTAATCCGGAGGATCACCACTCCTCACTCCCGGTACGGTCAACTCCAAGGTACCTGGGGTATTAAATTCAACCCTTCAAAAGACAAGTATGTTTTGTGCTTTGCTAAAGCGTCCTAGTTAAAAAAAACACATAGATGGTCAAGTGTCAAGTTTGAGGGCAACAACATCTCCTTCTCAATGAGACAAAGCTCTTGTGCAACAATCAGCATGACTTGAAATTAAAAGCGTTATGTTGAGGACTTGTGTAAAGGGGGCAAGGAAGAAATGTTTTGTATAGAGGCTCTTAAAGTGGATCAATAATCGTGTTTCAAAAATTGATTTTACATCTAATCCTTAATTTGTGGCCTATCTGCAATGCCTGGGTCTGAGTCACATTTATTTGTAGCTCCACGCCTTTCTTCTACACCTTTCTGAGTGCTCTGAGAGCAACCTGTTTTGGTGCTGTCTCTTTTAAATGCAAATGATGCGCTTTTGACCACGACCCCCAACCAGGTGACACAGGTTTCAAAACTCCAC